TATGTATTAACTAGGGTTAAATGTCGATTATTTCGCAAATTTCGGGGTGGTCCTAAACTTTTGGCCAGGGAGTGTATGTATAGCCCCTTGATGATCTTTACATATGAATAGCATTAAATTTTTTGGCGAAACACCTTTGACTGATCACCCGCTAGGTTAATTTGCAACTCAGGATCGGCCAGCAGCGAAGATCCAGGGACTTTCATGTTTTGCGATGATCAACTGCGGAAGGAATATAATTATAAAAATGGTGGATTTATAGGAAGGCTTAGGTAAGAAAAAAAATAAAATCAAATATATATATTATTGCCGAAGTCGCCCAGACTCTTCGAACTATCAAACTACATAATTTATCATTCTCTAAAACTATTCCGCAAAATGCTTTCGAAATTTGAAATTTTTTCTATTGCACTCTTCACTATCGTATTCATCATCTATGAGATGCTCCTCCGAGGCATCATAACGCTAGATATGCTCCAGGCTTTTTTTTCCGGAAATATAATCATCTATATAAGTCTTGTGGCCTTATTCATCTATTTTCGCCGAGAAAGGCCTATGGAAATAATAACCCTGAAATCCTGGAGATAAAAAATGATCTCCGGAGAATGCGTGAAGAGAAATGATGCAATGCCTGTACGACATAAAAACCTATATTAACGTCTAGTACTTTCCTTCCCTAAATTTTGAACCTAACACTATTTTTTGTCCGCCTATTTTCACTATAAAACCTAACACTATATCTGAAACTAGTACACCTTATACTCCAGCTTCCACCTCTACTACAGTTGCTGGAAATGAGAATGATAAGTTCGAGCGTCATGGAATGAAATTGGGACCTGCAACAGCTCTCGTAGACTTCGCTAAGGAGTGTAAGGATAAAAAATTAAAGGCGTTCTCATTTTCTCTACAAATTCACGAACTTAAAGACTCCAATAAGCACTTCGAGCATTGTGTGGAGAATATTTTGTTCAGGATGAAACATTACGGGTCGTTGGTTTTGGATAGTTGGAATCTATGCGTAATGAATACGTTTCGACCAAACTTTATACGGAACTACACATTGCAGATGATACAGGTTGATTATGCAATCGAGGTATGAGGATTCCTAGTTATCATGAGTTGATTTTTTTCTTATAATATTTGATCACTTACCATGATCTATGTAAATGGGTGGATAGGAGGCCGAGAACCTTCTTTGTGTCACAGAAGACAAAGGTCCAGCGTAGCATACTCGAAGGCTTCGCCCAAAATATCAAACAGCTCGAGAGCTCGTATGAAACGAACAAGAGGAAACGAAAAAGTGTAGATGATGATTTCGACTACCTCTATGGTATCGTGACTTCGGCCAGAGATTGGCATTTTCTGCTTTACAGTCCGGGCGAGATTAGTCAAGCGAGTGAAATTCCATATACCATCGAGTTTAACAAAAGGCTCTAGAAAAAAGAACCGAAGAGTATCAAACATTGCGTAATGGTGTGAAGAAGGTTTTGAGTGCTATCGTTGGTTTAATAAAGGATAGGGCGTGTGAGGACGAATCTCCTGAGAATAAGAGGGTTAAAATAGAAGGGTATCGTTCGAAAAATAAGCCGTAGGTTGTAGGTAGCTATACTCTGTAATATTTAATCATGTAGACGTCATGTAATCCGGGCAAGGTCCCGCACTTGTAATTATTTTTTTATCTTATATTAATAAAACATTAATCGAATGTAGATATTTTTGGCAATCAGTTATATAGTGGACATGCGTGCCCAGAATTTTTCTTGGCAAAAGTGATCTGCGTTCCAAATTGGAACGACAGCGCCGAATCGAAAAATGATGTTACTCGTGGTTTTATTTCTAATTTTCACATCACATCAAAATTAAATCATGGCATAATTTACCTTGGATACATCAACATCAGTTTCAGAGAGAGCTCATCATTTCTAAGGTCAGAACTCAGAACCAATTGGTAAGTTTAGTTCCGTAGCTAAATTTCGCTAAAATTCACTTTTCTTTAATTTTGCATTTGACGAGTCTGTTTGGAAGGAGATCATCCTGTGAACGTCCACAAGTTTTTGAATCGCGTGCGTGCATTTTATACTGCAGTATATGCTATGCGCAGTAATACGAGAGCTTCATATCACGTGAATACAAAGTACCGATTTACTAATTTTCAGCCATTGGTTGCAGATAACAAAAATCGAATTGGAATTGATCAACGTACCATATATAAGGTCTTGTTATAAATTGAAAACTGTGATCCATTTTTATTGATAAATTCTCCTATACTAACAAACAACTTCAACTTACTCTTTTTTTTTTTATTATTAAATGGCGAGATTTAATGAAAAGAACGGTGAATGCATGGAAGAAAAGAACAATGTTCAAATTGATCCAAATGATACTATTACGTGGATCAAATATGTAATTAAAGGTCAGCCAACAAAACGTTCAAATATTCCTGAATATTTGTGGACCAAAGCAATCGGCTCTGGTGATAATAGTTGAAAAGCATAAAAAAAGTATGTACTGTATGAGTATATCTTTGTTTATTAATAGAGATACTTGGCTATGTTAAACTTAATTATTGCTAGACCCATGTTTCGGTGAGAAAGAGTTTGAAGCAATGATCGATATTTGTCACATAATAGGAGAGTGGTACAATGTCGTAGTAGAAGACTACAATAGAGGTCAATCGGATGATAGAAAATTCGAGTATTTTGGTCATTTGTATGACCAACATTTTAAAGATGCAAGAGTTAAGGTTAGATTTACTAATACACTTAGAAATTATGGGATGAATGTTCAAGATGTAATTGTATTACTCCGATATAAATCAATACGAAATAAGAAAGTTCATAAAGAAAACTAAATAGAGGTACAACCGGACCAGAACTTTTTAAGCAGAAGCAGGACGCCCTTAAGTTATTAGATATTGCTCCTGATCAACCGCAAGGTTTTCAGAAAGCATTTGAAGGATGTGTGAGATGGTTTTATAGAAGGAACTAATCCTTAATATTTTATTTCTATTTCAATGTAGTTCATTTTGACATTCTTAACCTTTGATATAATAAATGACATATATATGCTCAAGATTTGCTTTCCATCATTTCAAAGGCCTTATTAAAATATTTACCAGCCTCTGTATCTTTGTAATTTTCACAAATTGCTTTCCACATAAGTTTTTCCTCTTCAGTCTCGGTCAATTTTCCCCGTGGTGCAATGGGTAAATCATCATTATCAAAATCATATTCATTAACTGGACTCTCCGGTAATAATGAGATGATTTCAATCCCTTTATCTATTAAATCCCACATGGTCATTTCATCTTCGTAAGACTTAAGATCCTCTGCGTTTTTATTTTCATTGACTTTTCCTTTAATGAGAACATCATGACAAGATGAATTCCACATGGCCTTTTCATGTTCGTAAGACTTAAGATCCTCTGTGTTTTTATTTTCATTGACTCTTCCTTTAATGAGAACATCACGATAAGATAATTTTGTGGTATTGCTTATTGGTATAATTTTATCTTTTTCATCTTTGCTGACCTCTTTCTTCACACGAACATTGTTTTTATCTTCGAATTTTCCTTTAATAAGAAAGAAGGACAAGTGAAATTATAATTCATGTATATTTAACAAGGGTAGTTTTTAATAGACTGATATTGTTTTGTTATTAATTAAAAGATACGTGGATCTTTGATGTAAATTCTAACTGCAATCCATGCTAGATTGGAGAGAATTGTGGTAATATACCTAAATTCAATTCTTCATTTTCATAATCGGTGTCAGAGTCCACAATGCTATCATTATGGTTCATAATCAAGTGTTGGCTTAGCGCATCAGGGGAATCAAATCGTGAATGATTGCAAATTGGGCACTAAAAAAGAAGGTCAATGCAATTATTTCAGTCACTCTTGTACTTACAAAACAAAGTAACAAGTAAAATATTGATTACCTTGAATGGTTTTTGTTGAATGTGTCGATGTAAATGGTCTGCAAAACACAATAATAATTATTATTGAATCGACGGAGCTAGCAAAACCAAAAAATATTTGACATATTTTTATACCTTCTAACTTAATAATACTACTTTGACATTTATTGCAACCTTTCCACGGACATATATAAATTGTGTCTCCTCGAAATGATCCTTTGCAAGAACTGATGTCATGTTGAACGATATGATTTCTAAGTTTCTCCTTGGTTTTGAAGTGTTGTGGATCTGAATGAGTATCTAACCATTTACAGACGAATGGCATTAAATTAACATTTTCAGACATGGTAGTATAGGAAATGCTTGATAATATAGACGAGGTTCGATTAATTTCTGCCAGGGTTTTTAGTTGATAATTATTGGCTAACGAGGCTGTGTAACCCGAACTTTCCGATGTGGATCGCGTTTTAAAAATGGGCGTTTAGATTGATCACCGATCAGCATACTCAATTCCCAGATTGATCATGCTTTAGGATTGGTTAACGGATTTTGCAACGTATTCATAGTAGAGGTCAGTAGAAATGGAACCGCAAGATAGAATTCATTTTCCCATTCAGCCCCAACGTATCTATTTCGGAAAAGGGAATCAATGTTATTGTGTATCCTCCTACTGAAACGGTGCCAGAGATTCTAAGCAAAGATAATTAGTATTTTTTTTTATTCACATTATGTAAAGTGATCTATTTGCAATTTTTATGTATTGTAAGCCAACCATTTTTATTTCATAAATTATTTTATCGAATGAATATAAGAAGCGGGGTCTCATGTAATGATACAATGCCTGTGCGATGTAAAATCATATATTTTTTATCTGAGCCTAATAACCATATAAAAGCGCTATGTCTACCTTAATAACTGAACACAACTCTTACTTAATTGAGAATTGGAATATGGAAACCCTTATCGATTTTTTGAAAGAGCAAAATCTCAAGCTTGATGACGATGACTTGGGAATACTTCACAAAGAAAAAGCTGAAGCATGTGTTCTCAACCTATCGCAGTTTGAAAGAGGTGTTGACAAAATATAGTATTGACAGTAATGGTATAGGCACTATTTGTCAATTTTCACCAGTGAGTTTTTATTACTGCAGGAGTTCGTTCAATAATTCACGTTCATGATCAATATAAATAACTCATTATTCTCTTTCCTCTGGTCTGACATCTAAGCGACTTATAAACTCGAAGATGATGATGAAGGAAATAAAACACAGGCTGGGAAATATAGGTATTTTGCTTGCTGATAGCAATGAAGCTACGCTGTGAATATATTTCAACCATCCTTTACACTTCGCTTTATATCGTCAAAAAAATAACTGAAAAAGAAGAGCTTACCTTAGTTCCTCAGCTTGAAGTCATCAGAGAAGAAAGTACCAGCTGGGTTAATTATGCAATCAAGGCCCTCGAAGAACTTATTTGCATAATGAAAGAAAAATTACATCAAGTAACTATAGGCTTCACCCAAAATCTGATCTAATGTAAAAGTACCTTGCAAGTTAATAAAAAGAATAGGAAGTGTAAGTCAGGGGAAGCGTTTGAGGAAGACTTCGATTATATCTACGGCATCATTACAACAGCTTCAGATTAGTATTTTATTCTTTTCACATCGGATGGAATATCAAGCACGAGTAAGGATCCCATCAATATTTGATTTACCAAATCAGCCTTGAAGGAAGAATCAGAAGAAGAAAAAGACTTATGTAAAAATGTGAAACAGGTTATAGAGGTCGTCATTGGGCTATTGAAAGATAGGTTAAAGTGTGTGAATGAAGAATCAGATAGGAAGAAGGTTAGGATAGAGGAATATCGTTCAAAAAAATAATCATGTATAATAGCATAGTCTTCATATATTACAGGTAAAGTTCTGAACATTTGTATTTATTTTTAGCATATATTAATAAAAATAATTTTGAATTTTGCAGGTATATATGATAAGCGAAAAAAATATTTAGTCATGGAACTGCCATTTCAAGGCTATAAACAATTTATTTATTTTATAATCACATCTTAAATTCGCGTTAGAGCCAATATATGTTCTGGCCCTAAAATAATAGTCTTAGTAAATGCATCATATAATGCATCTAGTCTATGCTTTGAAGGAGCTAAATTTGAATGATGAAGGAATTTCATAAGCATGTCGTTCCTCTAAGTTTTCATCTCTTCTTACTCTCAAGTTATTCCTATTAACGTAGTCAAGTTATCAATGGAATAGTTCATTTGGATTAGATTCTAAAGTAAAGATCGTTTGTTTTTTTTCAGAGTAAATAGACTCATTTCTCCTATAATAGCAAATTTCACACTAATAATAAATTTTTCACGAATATCTGCTCTAATTGCTAAGACAGATAAAGGCAGAATTAAGGCTGAATAGTAGAAGTCAGCTAGAGGATCTAATTCAAATTCGCAAATGTATATAATCTTAATATCTTCTAAATAATTCGAAAGTCTATTAGCGTATCTATTACCTTCATGAATCAACTTCTGAAATAGCTTTCTTTTTGAATTGATCCATCAGTCTGTTAAAATATTGAGAACTGTTTTTTGCATGTCTATAGAAATGAAGTAGTATAATGTGATATATATTTTTCGTTTATAATATACTTTTTCCACCTCAAGTTCAATTCAGATTTTTCATTTTGAAATTTGAATTCTATAATAAGAAAGGTGTAAGAATATAATAAATGGATCGTCTTACCTACCTACTGTATATATTAGAAAAGATAGAAGTACTTGTGACTGTGTTTGCACTCGCTTGGTAGGATGCTCGCTCTACTGGAAATCAGATGCAAATAATATGCTAAAATCTCCATGTAAAATATGCTTTAAACCTACATTATCTTATACAGGCTATTGCTTTAAGCATGTCAAAAAAATTTATCATCTTCTTGAAAGAGAGAAATAACGAATAAGTTTGTCATAATGATGATGCCTACTTGTATGATGGTCGTAAACCCTATTAATAAAAAAATTTTCTTGGCAAAAGAGATCTGTCTTTCAAATTGGAATAGACACGTGACTTTTTTTATTTTTAATGCTTGTATAAAGTGTTATTAAAGATGGAATCTAAGATTGACTTACTTAGGCAAGAAAATGCCAGACTTATGGTTAAGAATTATGAGCTTGAGATTGAGATCATAAAGCTGAGTCAGATTATTGAGGAGAATGCTAAACGCGATGTTAGGGTCAAAGAACTAGAGCAAAAAAATACAGAGCTTGAGACCAGACTTACGTCATTAGAACAAGCTTTCTTGATAGTGGATAGATAGTCACAGAATAATAATAAAATGATATAAGAAGGATTACCAGAGGTATCCGTACTAGCTGTTGATATATCTGAATTTGTAATAGACTAGCAAAATAATGTTGATACCAAGTCAACGAAGGATAAGATAATAGATGATTATTTGCTTAAGCAAACACCAATGTCAAAGATGTTACTAAAGATAACTGATATACATAATGTTTATCAGAAGTAAATCCAACTTGAGCAGTGTAAGCCTTATAGCAAAATAAATAATACAATACCAGAGGTAAGTGTGTCTACCAGCCCTTTATTTTGTGAAGAGAATAGGGAGACTGATGAATTTTTAAACGCAATGTATAAGAAGAAAATTGGCGATGAGATTAGGTAAAAGAAGCGGGAAAAGAAACTTCAAGATAATTCGTCACCAGAGTTAACTTCTCAGAGAGAATCAGATTTAGAAACACTCGTAACTTCTTTAGATTCTGCCATTCTCTTGAATGAAAAATGAACAGGGTTGTTCTTTTTCTTAATCAGAGATTTCACGAGATAAGAAGAATACTTAGGTTTCAGAAAATTCTAATAACAGTTCATCATCTAAACTATATAATGCTTCTTCTAGTTTCGAATGTGATGAGAAGGTGGGAAAAATTCCCTATAATCTGAAAGTAGAACAAGACTTGAGAGACAAGTTATCTGCTTACATGAAAGGCAAAGGATTCGCTTCACAGAGTGAAAATAAATATTTGATATATAGATTCCTGAATTCTTCTTAAAAGCAATTCTGACAGAATCTAATAAAGTTACATCACAAGTCATAGTTAATCTATTTAATATAGCAATGAAGACCAGACGAAAGGAGATCTTATGCTGGTATTGTTACTATAAAGCATATGAGGATCGAGTTAGGAAAGTTAAGTCTAAGAATGGTATTGATGATAAATCAGCAAGAACATTGGTATACAGCGAAATCAAACCCCTTCTTCCTGACATTACTGATGTAAACTTACGTAAAATAACTTTTAGAACTAAAAAAATCTATACATTGTTTGATGGGATAGGAATAAATAGAATCTAAATAATTAGCTCTAGCGCAAGTATTATCTCGAATTTATATGATAATTAGATTCAGGATATTATAAATGATTTTCCAAAAGCTACTAATACAGATGATGTAGGTTATGAAGACTCTGTTCTAAATTAGAACGGACACGTGACTTTGAAAACCAATAAGACTGAGATATAAGCGAATCCTTTAGGAGTAAGTACATCGGCAAATGTATTATCTGTATTTCAATTTAAGCCAATTTATGAATGATCATATTTTCACAACAAAACATTGAATTATTATTCTAATTTATATAGAGAATTTAGTAGTGAAAATTTTAATTATTATGGAATTACTAACGAGAAAATATGCTCATTATGTAAGTTAGAGCATGATGAAGAAGAAAGTATAGAAGGAAGATATACATCTGGATCCTACTTTATTAAATGTGAACAGCGTGAAATTGAGATAGTTGCATAATCTCATTATTTTATAATATTATATTTGCTTATGCTTCATTGTGATATTTTTTTAGGGCTAATTTATGTTAACTAATATCTAATTTAAATCGATTTGCAATTATAGAAAAAGACAATATGACCAAGTCTGATAAAATATTAACTTCCGAATATCTGGATTGGCATGCCAAATTAAGTGGATTACCAAGCATTTTGACAAATAAGATTCGTTTCAAATTATATAAAAGATATAAAAAAGAAACTGAAAATGAGCCATGGCAATTATCAGAAGTGCATACATCGAAAGCCAGTCTTCTCATAAATTCAAAGCCAGAAAACAAAGTATCCTATTAATTTTCTTTTGAACAATGTGAAGAAAAAAGGTCTATTATTTTCGAAGCCAAACCTGATCCAGAATTAATTATCAAATCTGTCTTGAAGCATTTCCCATACTTGAAATTCTGAAATAATTTTAGAGGGATTGATAATTATATTTTTGCATCACCTTAGTCATGAAGCTCATCATGTCCTATTTGCAATAGAAAATATGGAAATTATAGATTACATAGTTCATGGTATTGCAAAAATGGAAATCAATTCCTTTATGATCCTGAGTTAGTGAAATTGTATTTCCAAGATAAATTGGAATATTGTCTTACTTGCAACCCAATAAAAAATTTGATATAAAAATTCCATAAAAATATTAAGTTTTATAACGTATAACTTTTATGGAAAATCA